CATGTCTGCTGTCGCGTTCCACTGCTACTCTCTTTCTCTGGACGCCGCGGCCATGTATATTTCGGTGTTGCAGTGTTTTCCCCTTCATCACGATCTGCACCATGTTGAAGAGAAAGTTGTAGGCAGCTTGTGTCATCGCTACTGGATGAACTCAGTTCAGAGGAATTTGAAGAGTCCCTAACAAGCCGTCTGGAAACTTCTTCTGCTTGTATGTATGGATCGTATGCATTCAGTTCCATATGCGGTCCACAGTCAAGTTCTTGGATTTTCTGCCTTGACTGAAAAATCTGGATCACCGTCGCAGGAATCCAATCGACTTGAAATGACGGTTCCACCCATCTACCATCGACTTCGTAGGCACAGTCTTCTCCAGCCCATGCTAGATAGCTCTGGCTGTCGAACTCAGCGACAAACTCAGACACCTGTTTGACCCTTGTCACCAGGACAATCTGCGTCAGAGTGGAGAGACCTTCTGGACGATATTTGACCAAGTATGGTATTTGTCTAGGTTGGCCTTGCCTTGCCACTATCAAGAGAGGAGCTTCTTGTACCAGTTTAATTCTTCCAAGAAAACCTCTTATGGGACCCCTCAAACTTGGCAAAAGCAGTGGCTCTAACCATTGTCGGAACTCACGCTCATCTGTGATGGAGTATAGTTCACATCTTGCTAGCACATCCCTAATAACGAACCCATCCCCTGATACGACCTGTATAGTGAACGTTTGCTGGACTGTAGAGAATGCTCTACGCAAACCACGCAGAATAGTATCCAGATCTGCAGAGAAGTCGCGAATCGACAGATCTAATACTGTCTGCATCAGACCAATTTCATCCACTATCGCATCTATTTCTGGTGTCTGCATTCCATGACCATGAACTGCAAACTGGTCACAGGAGTCTTCATGCAGCACTAGATCAAGTCTTTGTCCATCGGCGTCTATCGGCAGGACTTCATCATCAATTGGCATTCCTCCTAGCTGGAATTTGCACAAGACTCGACGACAATCCCTCTCAAGACGCAACCATCGAATCACACTCTGCTGCGTGACAGGAGAAGCAAACATTCCTGCCAGAAGAGTGTGCTTATTTGGCTCGATATGTGACCAATCCACACAGACCAGAATAGCAAAATGCCTTTCAGCTGGCACAAAAAGGATCATGTGAACATCGTCTAGTCCGAGTTGTTGATGCGGGGCAGGCTGAGGTTCCACCCACCATAACTTGGCTACATCTGCAAGTGGAAAGCTTTCTGCCACTCGCAGTCTAACCCAAGGCACTAGCTGTTCCTGATTCCAAGTATTGTCCCAGACGAGACGGGCTGACTGTGGTTGGTGTCCGTCAGTAGGAATGTGTACGTGCAAGAACGTGCTTCTATATCTACGTTGCAACAGAAATTGAACTTCATCTCTAAAGTGAGTCTGTGCATTGCAACTAGTTATTGCGGCCACTCTTCGCGCAGGCTGTGTATCGTGAGATCGATTTGAAAGAGGCTCTGTTCTTCAGTGCTCAGCTGACTGCCATTCTGCAACAGTGTCGTTCCAAGTGAAACAGCCTTGCGCTTCCTGGAAACACCGGCACAAGAAATAGCACGGCTCAACTTACAATAAGCACCTGCTCTTGCTTCTACAGTGTCCTCCCAATCAAAAATCACAAAATCATTTCCGTTCCAACAGGCCATTTGGCAATGGTGGTTGCAAAAGGCATCGAACTCTGTACCTAAGAAAATGTCACGAACCTTTGAGTTTCTCTCAGCCCAGACTCCACATCGCACCGTGATGTGTGCCATGACGTCCACCAAGAAAGGTCTTGCATGAATCAAATCATCTTCTCTGGGAATGATGAGCAGTTCCGGACCTTCTTGCGTACTAGAATGCATCTGTGCTATAAAGACAGTGACGAAGCTACGATCTCCCCTTGGAAGCCATGCAGCTAGCAGTGCATTCTGCCAGTTGAGAGCTTTATAGCAACTGATTCGTCTTGGTGTCTTGTTGATTCTGTGCCACCTAGATACGAAGTATGTGTCAAGCACCAAAGGATCCACCTCTGGTAGTCGTACAGCAGACTCGGTCAGGAATGCCCTCAGGAAGTCGCCGACCTCTGCTTCACGTCCTAAAACCACTGCTCCGTGCACTGCTGCAAGATGCGATTGGAAGCCCTGAGTTCCACTTTCGCTTTCTTGTAGAAGTGGACCGAGATCACTCGCCTCTGACCTTTCCATTAGCGACATGACCTCGTGTTCTGCTTCGTGGTGGACTGTACTATCCTTTTTCCTTGTAGGTTGGATGTCAGAAGACAAAGCATAAGTCTCGGCATGGATCCTAGCTCTCACACCTACAAAATCCAAGCAAAGGAAGATCAAGACTATTGCTTTCATCTGCCTTCTATTGATTCTATGATACCTATGTGATCGAGGTGAAGTTGGCTTTTTGGCTACTCTAAACTGACACCAAGTTTCCCAACATGCATAAATTCCGGACCCGAATAAGGCAATTAGTTCAAGACAGCAAAAGAGCATTGCTTGTGCGATAACCTCATCCGCGAAGTCGTCGACATGACACTGCTCCCACCTAGAATCATTGACCCTTGAATGCTTCTCGAACGAACTAATTACTGGCCTTTCAAGTCTGACAAGACATTGGGAAAAATCGGAGACACGAAGTAGCACAGAAAGCCTGGAAATGCTTCTTAGGCGTTCCCATCTTTGCACTTCTCCTTTATCGATATCTCTGGTTGTTTGTAGAAAAGGGCGGCAAAATGAGCCGTCACTCCAGCAGTTATAACTATCCGTCCAAAGGCGTGCCTTCAAAAATGGCGCCAACGGACTATTCTGACAACAATCAGCTACATGAGAGCATCCCCATTCTTCATGGCTGAATATCACTTGGTCTCTGCTGGATCTACATCTGCCTTTTCCCCTTTTTCCTTCTTCTCCACAGCTTGCTTCAAATGAGTCTGCTTGACTCCCTTGGGAGGCGATGCAGCACTTGCAGCTTTGCCCGGCCGAGTAATGGCTCTTCGAAATGCCCTCAGAGCAACTGCTGGTTCTGCAGTTTTGTCTGCAACCAGCTCTTCCTCCATGTCTTCTTGCATTTCGTCGTCGTCTATGAGCTCCGATTCCTCGATTTTGCCCAGCATCCTCTGCATCTCCTCGAGAGTGGGGATTGCATCCCCTTCGTCTTCCACACTGATATTTGTCCTTAGTGCAGAAGCTACGTGCTTCACCTGCGTCCTCAGCAAACTCAAATTCTCTGTTGCCTCGACAAGTGCAGCTTTGGCCTTCTCTCTGTCCCGTTGATACACTGCCCATCGCTCTTGCATGCTGTTCTTCGCTTTCAATGCAAAGGCCTGCCAATCTTTGTCGGCTTTTTGCACTTCCTGTTTGCAGAGCTCCACCTGCTTTTGGGCCTTCCCAAGTTTGGAAAGATGCCCATGTGTCAGGCGAGGACTCGATTCTCCTCTCTGCTCCAGGGTTTGAATCTCCTTTGCCAAGCTCGAAGTTGCTGCAGTCCCATAGTAGCTTCTGATAGCTGCCAGGTGTTGCTGAATATCCACTGTAGCGGCATTGCCTTCTACCCCACCTGGAGGAGCAGGCGGTGGTGGTAGTCTCGGCGAGGGTGGTAATGCTGGCGTGGTCTGCGATCTCCCCTTGCTCTTGGCTTCCTTCCTGGGCGGAGGCGTAAAAGGATCTTGCTCTTTCCGCTTTTGAGACTTCGACCGATCTCGCTTCCATTCTACTGCCGTATAGTGCTCTCCGCAGTAGAGACAATAGAGAGCTTTGGGGGCATTCTTCTGACCACACTGGCAAATCCACCTGAGAGGCATTGTGGATATCTGTCCCGGCAATGAACTGCCGTGATGCGTAGCAATGCGTACTATTGCACCACGAAGGCGATGTCTTGTCACCTTGTTGCCTTGTTTCCAAGTTCTCAAGGTGATTCTTGCAGCTTTTCTTCTCCTCCTTAAGTTCCGATGCCAAACTGGTTCTTTGGACCTCGTGATGGCCAACCTGGAATTGGTGAAGGATGAAGATCAGGAACGCGTAAAAGGCCAGTAAACAGCGAACCGCGAAAACCATGCACCCGGCTTCGCGGCCCTAAGGCTACCGGCTAAACCTGCCCGGGGTGTGAGGGGACAATTCCCACCCCGGACCAGAGCCAAACCTTGGCCAAGTATTATGTTGAAACCAAAGCAGTGGCTAGGCAGTGGCTTCGATCTTGTGGGGAATCGAGGGACGCTACCGCCGAAGTGACCTGGTGGAGTTCACTGCGGTCTCAAAACGGCTCGGGTACTGCTCCTCTCAGGAGTGGCTCCACGTATGAGGCAGCTAGTGGCTTGGCAGGGTCCAAACGAAGTGTGGTTTCTGACGATCGTGAAACCTCATGGGCAAGAATTTGACAGCTGTACTGGCTGTACTCCACAAACTGGCGGTTTCCACTTCCATGATTATATTCCACAGGATTGCATCGACGTATTTCGTCCTTCGAACGACATCCACGAAAGGCTGCAAAGGACAACCTTGCCTTCCGAAGGCATCGTTTTGGACCCATCCCAAAAACCCCAGGCTTCCAACTTAATTTAATGGGCTGAATCCCGAATCAACTAAGGATTTTACATTACAAAAACCAGGTCGTTCCCATTATTTTTACTGGTCTTGGAAGTCTAGGGAAAAGGGGCATCTGAGGTCTTTCTGGTATTTGGTCCGAAGCCTCAATGCTTCAAAAGGCCGATCGGTACCGGACACCCCGCGCTTTCCCCCGCGTCCGTCAGGTCCAGGATTTGCCGGGACTGAGCCTGGCCTTGTCCCTACATGCACCCACTCAGGCGAGCTTCCGCACAGGGGAACGTTTCACTCGGTCGCAGCTGGGTGAAACATCCTGATCGAACGGAACGAGTACTCTTCGAAAAGCACCTCACAGGATTAAGGCAAATTTTATAGAAATCCAGCAAGACTGCATGCCTGTTATCGGAAATTTGGATCTTTTCCTCCAAGATTGAGAAGAATGCAGCCCTTTCCACCGCGTCCTATCCTCACAGTGCCCACTCCATTCGCACCCACCACACGCCGGCCCAGCACAGGAGCTCCGGGAGCGGATCGTCCCCTCGGCGAAGCATTTGCCGCTGGAGGAGCTGCTTTTGGCGCTGGATCTGCACCTGGAGCAGTGCCTGGGGCCGCACCTGTCGTAACAATGGCCTCCAACCGAATTCAGAGCGATGGCCTCCACCCCTGGTCGTAGCAATGGAAGAGTGTTGGAACGTTTGAGACGATCTGAGACGATGTGGATCTGAGTGGGAAGAGTTTGAGTGTGGCTCCAGCCGGGTTGGAGTTTGAGCGACTTGTCAGTGGACTTTGAATTAAGCTTATATATAGGGATATGGTCAAAGTCCGACCGTCATGGGATTGATTGGTCCACTGCACACAATTCTGGCCATCTTCCAGGGTAGATACTCCCCTAGAACACCTGCTGATATACTCCCCAGAGGACCACACGGAATAAGGAACCCCAACCAATGCGTTGTAGAGGAAGCCTGCTCTTCCAGGGTCCATGGGATCCTTTTGCGAGATACGGTAGATGTTCAATGGATCCCATGCAAGTATGATGCAGTATTGGGAATTGAAGGGTCCTCCAGACGTGCACGTGGAGGTAAGCTCAGTCCACGCCTGCAGCGTGCCGTTAAGGAAGACAGCCCGAACCATGATTGCAGCTTTGACAGCAGGGGGCGAGTGACTTGTGAGATGACAGACCCGTCATTTTGCGAGGTGCCGAAGACTTGAGGTACCAATCAAGCGATAGGCAGTCCGGTCGCAGGTGAATTGGGTCGGTCTTCAGCCAGTGAAGGTTGGTCTCTCATGTGATTTGCGGGCGCCAGGCTAAGAATGGGTGCCAGCACCCACATACCAGAGCGTGTGCCAACCTTGGACCCAAGCGATTTCATTTGGTTGCAAGACCAAGCCGCTAAAGATCACCGTCGCAGAACCAAATTCTTCTGATCACCTACCCATGGATGAGAAGAGAGCTCAGTCTCGAGCTGCTCAAGGAATACGTCCTTAGTAGCTTCTTGTTACTAGTAGCAAGGCCAGAGCCCTAGTAGCGTCCTCAAGGAATACGTCCTCCTTGCCGGAGAGAACGACAGCGATGAGAATGCCGCCCAGCTGGGGAAGCTGCTGGCGACCCGCGCGCGGAAGGCGCAGAGGAGAGGAGAGGAGAGGACATGACAAGAGGTGGGCTATGTTCTCTATCAAGACATTCGAGGGGTTTTCCCCAACATAGGTATACCAATACGTGTTTTGTTTCTTTTCTCTCTCTCTCTCTCTATCAGGGAAGTGCAGATAGAGAGAGAGAGAGAGAGTTAGAGCTAGAGCAAAACAAAATTGCGATGGCCTCCACCTAGATGGCCATTAGAAGGCCAGTTCCCCAGCTGGCCATTTGTATGCAGATGTGTCCTGGAACCCAGCTGGCCGCCCCTCACCCAGCTCCGGTGACCAAGGAGAACAAATATGAACAAATCCATTGAAGGCTCAAACCAAACTGGAACATTTGAACATCCAACTTGAGGTCAGCAGCTAGAGATTGCTTTTAGCATCTGTTAGCCACAGACCAATCCCAGATAATGTAGTCCAAAAGAGCTACAAACAGGTTTGTGAACCTCGAATTCAACCATCATCATGAGCCATGAGCTGTTCCAAACAAAGCACTACCTTTATACCGGTGTCCTGTCCGCTTCTTTTATTCAGGTCTTAGCTTTTTGTTGAACCTTGCAAGTGATTTCCCATCGAGGGGTTTAATCCACATGACCCTGAGGCATAATTGTGTTTCTTTCAAAAAACAGTGGAGAAACCTCCAAGCAATGGTTGTCATTCTTGATCGCTGTAGCGCTTTGGTCACGAGTTGGGGACATGCTCTGAGCTCCGCAGCTCATGGTGAACCTCATCCCGTACAACCCCACGGCGGCGGCCTTCCCGGGCGGCTTCTCCGCGCCCACGCACGAACGAGTGGAGCGATGCTCGGCCGGCGAACGAAGCTGGGGCAAGGGGCGGTGGATTTACAGAATTGACTGATGCTAATTAATGATGACAGGGTCATCGCTAGTAGGGTGGAGGCCATCTCTCTTGGGTTGGAGGCCATCGCTACTTGGGTGGAGGCCATCGCTATTGGGGTTGGAGGCCATTTGCTCTTTGTTTCTTTTTAGATGATGCTAGATCACCCTCACATGACACTGCTTTGTGAAACATGGTTGGGCTGGTCTTTGCACGAACTGCTACAAAGTTTCAACCACCCAATGTGGAATTTCGAGGCCCAACCACACCACGGTTTGTTTGACTGAATAAGTACGGAGAAGATTAGGAGTGACCCTTGACGCTCCTCTGTGAGAGAACCGAAGGGTATCACATGGGTATAACTTAATATAGCAATGGCCTCCAAGCTATGGCCTCCGACCTACTAGCGACGGCCTCTAACCTAATAGCGATGGCCTAAAACACACCAGCAAGGCATCTCAAGGCACACATCCCAGATGATTGGCCTCTTGAACACCACCCACATCATGTTTCATGCGCCACCGACACCTTTCTCACACAAAAAGAAAGAAGAACCTCGTGCCCCGGTGCGGCGTGCCGAGGCTTTCAGCAGATCTTGGCGCACTTCGGCCTCATGACCCGCGTGCGCCGGGAGATGGGGCAGGACATCGCAGGCGCCTGCGGACAGCAGCGTGGCCGGAGAGCGAGGGAGGGACGCGAAGAGATCCGAAGGCTCCGGGGAGAAGGGAGAAAGTCGATTGCAGGGAGTTGCCATCCTGGTCTCTAAGAACACTGAACTCAAACCTATAGAAGCGATGGCCTCCACTGCGATGGCCTCCGACCGAGTACCCCGGGACATGTCCCGGAAGACCCCCTGGATCTGTGGTGTCGGCTGGCGCGAACAATGGATTTGGGGTTCGGATGAGATCCAGTTCGCATGTGTGGGTCTAAAACCGACAAGTGGTTGAAGGGTAACAGTCCTGACGCATGCTTCTTGTTTCTAGTAGCTTCTTGTTCCTAGTAGTAAGGCCAGGGGCCCCTAGGAGCGTCCTTGCTCCTATAGTAGTGATGCCAGGAGCCCTGTTTGTAGCGTTTTGGTTCCTCAGGCCAGTGGAGCCAGGCGCTACTAGGGGCTCCTGGCATCGCTACTATAGGAGCAAGGACGCTACTAAGAAGCAAGGACGCTACGAACGGAGCAAGGACAACGATAGGAGAGATGGGGGTGGTCTCACGGTAGGCCAAGTGGCGCACTCGAGCAGCGATGTTGCAAATTTGAAGCGCAAATGTGATGCGACCACCCAAAACGGACGTCTTGGGCGGTTGGTGATACCATGGTTTTTCTCAGTGGAGGATTTCCATTTCAGTTTAAGTCTAATTACTTTAATTAATCTTTAATATGTAGACTCTTGATGAATAACACCGCCTCTTGATGACTTGATGAGTATTATGGAGGGTCATTCATCAAGAGTACAATGGCCTCTTCAGAGGCTGTCCACATCGCGGGGTGGTCTCAAGGACTGCTTCAAAACCACCGAAGACCAGCGGGAAGGACTTCTCCGATCGTTCGCTCGAACAGCTTGGTTCATCTCTCTGAGGCTTGCGCTCAAGGAGCTGGGTTGGAAGCAATGGCTGGGTGAACCATGTCACTCCTGTGGGGTGAAATGCATTGAAAGGGATGTGTGGGGGGTTCCAAATCGCATTGCAAGCGATTGCAAGATCCTGGTCAATCCATCGGCAAATCCGGGACGTCACTTCGGAGTGGCAAATTGAACATCAAGACTGGATTCTGATCGTTCCAGTCTTCTGCCCTCCAATCATTTTGGAAACAACTGAGGAACTGCTCCAGTTTCTTCACACCATTCCATTCCGTAAAGACTGCTCCGGCGTTAAAATCCTGTCTTGGTGCTTCCCGCGTGGTTCCTCCGGTTGATCGAAGCCGTGCCATGGAAATGTCGCGAACCAAGGGCTGTAAGAAGGAGTTTCCTACTCAATTGATCAGGTTCTGCGATTTATACGTTTCAATACAGCAATATGTTTCTTTGTTTGGAACAAGATGATCTATCAGTGTCTATCAACATGGAAGCCCATACATAGCATCTATGAGCCTGATTGCTGGCGTGCACATTTGAAGAATCCGTGGCGTTCAGAACTCGCCCTTGCTTCTGGTCCGTCAAGCTGCAGATCTTGGTAAGTCTAAGTTCATATGTCTGGTGTCACAGATCGTGGTGGCCATGACGGGCTGCAACTGGATCTGCATGACCTTCCATGACCCTACCTGTCCCTGTGGGCTATGAACCACTGGTGGCCATTCAAGCATGCCCACCAGGCCTGGGTAGCAGCATCATTGATTGATAGTTGATTCAGTTCAGGGGAAGCTTTGCATTTGTTTGTGATTGAAAGGCTCACTCCCGCACATGTAAGCTGTGTAGGACGGACTGCTTCATGACCTTGTTTCCACCAGTTTGACCCTGCCAAGCTGTGTAGGGGGGCGTGCGATCGACGGATCATGAATCGCCTCATGTGGCCGACTCTTCGAGCTCCCCTCGCAAAGCACATATTGTCCTTCAGCAGGTGTTGTTTGTCCTTCAGTCCAGTTGTTGGTAGGTCCACAGATCTTGAAGCTTGAAAAGGACTCTGCGTTCAACATGACACATTCTTAGAGATGTGAGTGTGTGTGTGCGTGTGTCAAACCCTGTTCCTAAGGAAATGTTCAATGTACAGCTCAAGCAGGGGGGCCAGCGCATGGCATCACGACGCTGGCCAACCAAGCTAGTGGTGTCATGGGATGCGGTCAGAGACTCTGCTGTGTACCTGCTTTTTGTGGCGTTGTCAAGCTGTGACTCCAATCTTCCTGTAAAGTGCTAGCGAGCGTGTTGAACAATTCTGTTTCTCGGACTCTTTCGCCATTCTGTTCCCTCAGCCAAGGTCTAAATTGCATTAAAGGTCCGATTGCAGTAGCACTGGATCTTCCAAACCGATTCACGCTTTGGCGAGCCTATATCTAAGTGTGAGTGTGTGCGGTTTGTGTGGTCGTATTCTCTTTGAAGCGATGAAGAGGCGGTGTTTATGCTGAGCTCATCATATACTACCTCGACTTCATCAACGATGTCTATCAGATGTACACCTTCATCGCCAACCAGGACAGCCAGACGATGACCAGGTCTTCGCAGTTTGGACGGTCCATGACGGTCCCAAGGTGCAATGCTTTTGTTACTAGTAACGTCCTTGTTACTAGTAGTAATGCTCAGAAGTTTCTTGCTCCTAGTAGCGATGCCCTTTGTTACCAGTAGCTTCTTGCTACTAGAAAACGATGAGCCTCCAACCTAAGAGCAAAGGCCTCCAACCTACTAGTGATGGCCTCCAACCTAAGAGCAATGGCCTCCAACCTACTAGCGATGG